TATAACATTATCTTAATTTTTTGGTTTTCTTTTATTGTTCCCCCGGTGCTCTGAGTGAGCTAGAAGAGGGCAGTGGAGGAGAATTTAACATTACACAATACGTTGTACATTGTCAACTTTGTTCGTCAAATCACCAAGTAAACTACATCGAATCCAACGCTCGCTATGCCTACGTTTAATATATACCTACTCAATGCTCAAACCCACCTACCATTATCTTACCTAATAAAAACTTGTTTTTGAGGTATGTTTCAATTATGAATATAAGAACTTAGGAATAAGTGCTTACTTTGTAAAGTCTGTGATACGTTCGTACCACCATGCTGTACCTACATCATAGTGGATAGTACTCTGTACCATCTTCTTTATTTTATTGTGTGCCCAAAAATATAACTAATATGGCCGTTTGAGGTATACCTATATGTTTTTTTTTATTTAAATGTATTATGGCAGAACTACACTTATCTGTCGTGTTTGTTGTAATGCATCAGAGAGCTATCTGTTTCATAAATTTAATATGGTTAGAGTGAGAACAAGATTAAGAACAGTAATGAGAAAATCAAAATGACATGGAATATTATAAACAATGAAACGGGAAAATCCAAAACCCGCAATAATAATTATAACTTAAATATTGTTAATAAAAAGGTTACATCAGATACTGAAGTTGCTACAGTATTCGAAAATTTCTTTACTGATATTCCAGTTTCAACGACTAAATCATTGAACTCTTCCCCCGTTGCTGCCGAATCAATTTTAAGACAAAACGTGAACACTTCTACTAGCCATTTTCATTTTAAAGCGCTAGCATCACTGTATAGTTTGTGCGTCAGCCCGTCCACGTCTGAAAGCTCGTCAACGACTCTGCCGCCGACATAAGGTGGCGACGGCTGCAGTTGCGATACCGTTCGCTGAAGAGGCCGAAATATTTTCTAAAAAACCAGTCAAGTGCGAGTAGGACTCGCGCATCAAGGGTTCCGTACAAACCTGAATTTTCAAAAAGATTTTTGAAGTTATACTTCTTTAGGCGCGTTATGAAAAAATGATGAGAGTAAAATTTTAAGATGCGCGCGCATCACTGTAACACAAAAAAATTAACAGCATGAAGTTGGTCGCTTTAGCGACCAACTTCATGCTGTTACTTTTGTGTTTACCGCACATTAAGAAAATCTACCAACAAAATAGAAATAGTGCTAACGACTGCATTGTGAAGGCCTATCAAAAGTATTTATTAATCTGGAACAACGGAACCAAAGCGCGATTCAGGAGACTACAGCGCCATCTCTTGACCATTGGTGTAGTAGAACCAAAAACCACATCTTTATTTTTTGTAATAAAGTAACAGTTATAGGTATTCATATTTATAATATTTATCCACATGTTTCTAGTTTGTATATTCGGAATACGTGTTTGAGTTTCATACAAGTGCAAATCACATATGTTCTAATAAATTATATTCAGTAGCGATTTTAATTGAATATTTTGATTATTTATTTATTTTTTCAAATTAAAACTGAACTTTATTGACTGTGTCCTTTCCAGACTTTTTATTAATTTATTGTAATTAATTATTTGCATGCAATTAAAAACTAATTTTAAACGATGCCAAAGAAGGATAACTTCTCACGCGCCTACATAAGTACACGCACCCATTTTTTTTTTATTATATAATGTAACTAAAAATGTATTGTTTTCGAAATTTTTCCTTTATCTGTACTATAAGACGTTACTTCGTACCAAATTTCAAGTTTCTAAGTTCACGGGAAGTACCCTGTAGGTTTTGATTCCCGTGCGAGTTTAGAAAATTTGCGGAAATTTGCGGCATAAACGGCTGTATCTTTTGATTGCTCTGGCTTAGAATTTTGATTTTTACAGCTCCAAGGGACCAGTGGCGGCGCTAGACCACATGTGGACGTCGGCGACATCAAGTTCGCGAGGCCTATTTTACTTCGCAGTAAAAAACCTTTAAATTCAGTGAGCTAAATTATAAAATAACGTATGAGTAAACGATTTTATTGTTGATAATCAAATGATGACAAAAAGTAACTACAAACATAGAAATTTAAATACAACAAAAGATGTTACCAGACAGACGATTCTGAATACCCGTAAAGTACTACTCGCTTCCATCACGCACGTGTTAGAAAATAATAAAAGTCATTATCATCTGCTTAGCTTTTTCCCCGAATTGTTCGGGGTCGGCTAGCTAAGCCAGGCCAAAAGAAACGAAAATAAATAGGTAACTTGTAAAAAATTTTTTCATCCCACCACCTCGGAAAGTGTAATTTTGCGCTTCGAAATCTGGCTGGAAAATTCTATTTTATTCGCTTGAGCGGCAAAGTAGATTTGAATTTAGAACATCACATATAATGAGTACTCAATATAATTGTAAATTCAAAACGTCATTAAACCTATTTAATGTAACCTCTATGGTGCCAAATTTATGATTAGAACTTTTTAAATTGTGAAAAAATTTAAATTTGGAACCTTCTTGGTTTCTTTGTTTTATTTGCGTGCTTCGCGCCATTCTAGTTTTTCACGTTTTATTGCTTAATATAATTAACATAACCTAAAAACTGTACAAAAAAATCAACTAAAATGAGTGACATTAGCGACGATGAAGTTTATCTAACGCCAACTGAGTTAACTGAAACAGTTAATAATGCGCAAATGAGCCTTCTCCCTCAGCAATCACGAGAGAAGTATTTGAAACAGTACGATATATTTAACATGTGGCGACTAGCTAAAGGAGCAAAAACTTTCTCCGAAAACGTTTTGCTGGCATATTTTATAGAATTATCTGAGACCAAGAAAGCAAGCACGCTATGGAGTACGTATTCAATGCTAAAATTAACAATTAAGATGAAGAAAGACGTTCATATCGACACCTATCATAAATTAGTGGCATTTTTAAAAAGAGCCTCATCTGGTTATAAACCAAAAAAATCGAAGGTTTTCACAGCATCTGAAATTGCAAAGTTTATTAATGAAGCACCTGATTCCGTATATTTAGCGGCAAAAGTAAGTCAATACGTGTAATTTTTTGTTGTTGATAAAATTGTACATAGTACTTACAATATTTTTAATTTGATTAATTTATTTACGATTATAAATACTTCTTTTGTTACAGGTTGTTCTTATTATTGGTATAACCGGAGCATGTCGAACAAATGAACTTACACTACTTAATGTCAATAACGTATCAAAATATTCTCATAATTCTGATGAATTGCTATTAATTAATGTACTAAATACCAAGACAAAAAAAGACCGCAACTTCGTTATTCGCAAGGAATATGTAAACATTGTTCAGAAATATCAAGCTTTACGTCCTTCTAACACCCCAATTGAACGATTTTTTCTACAATATCGCAACGGAAAGTGTATCCGACAACCTATGGGTCAGAATAAAATTGGCAGTATTCCACGAGAAATAGCAACTTTTCTCGGACTTTTAGAACCCCCGTTATACACCGGTCACTGTTTTAGAAGAACCTCAGCCACACTTTTGGCCGAATCAGGGGCTGATCTTCTATCGCTTAAGCGCCATGGAGGCTGGAAGTCTAATTCGGTTGTAGAGGGATACATAGAGGATTCAATCCAAAGTAAATCAAAAATTTGTAATAGTATCGTGGAGGCCATAACGCTGAAAGAACCTCTGTCAGATTCTTGGTCTCGCCCTTCTACATCTAAAATGAGCCCCCATAAGATTGGAAACAATAGACCTCTCTCGCCAACATTTACGCCAATAGAATCCAATGAATCGGCACAACTATTTAAAATTACTGATACGAGTAGTTTACCACAAAACAGCGCACAATTCACAAACACCAACATAACATTACCTAACAAAAATATTAAACTTAACATAAGTAACTGTAGCAACGTTACATTTAATATTTCTTAATTATTTTCTACTTCTTATTATTTTCTTCAATTTATAGATTATCTTAATGTGTTTTAATTGAAATAAAAATATTTTGTCATTATAAATTGTTTTCTTTTTCATTTTGTCATTTCCTCGCTGAGGTGGGATGAAAAGTTACGTATTGCACTCGAGTGGAAAGATTTTTCACCTTGTGCTCGTTTGTTTCCCTCGCTGACGCTCAGGATTCTAATTTAGAATCACTCGCTGCGCTCGTGATTCAACTTTAGAATCCTTCGCTTGCTCGGTCATCCAAATCGAGCACGCGGTTAAAAAGGAACTTTCCACTCTTGTATAATAAATAACTATTGCGAGGCCCCGTGAGGCGCGAGGCCGTCGGCGGTGGCCGACGTCGCCGACGCCTAGCGCAGCCACTGCAAGGGACAGTAGACCTGAGTATTATATATAAATTTCAGTTTGATACCTCCACGCGTTCCTGAGAAAAACGGTCTTGACAGACGGGCGGACGGACGGACGGACAACAAAGTGATCCTATAAGGATTCCGTTTTTTCCTTTTGAGGTACGGAACCCTAAAAACAAAAAAGTTTTGTAAACCATATTCAAATCTTAGCAAACTCATAAGACACCAAGAAGAAGAAAAACAACTACTCTTAGTAACATCGAATCTTAATTTTGTTTGCAATTTTGCGATGACAATAGTTATGGAACTCCTACGTGATTTTTACTAGCAAACCAGTTAACTAAACAAGTGCTGCTTAACTGATTTAAGAAGAAAATGATAAATCAAGAATATTTTCTGCCAAATCTAAACAGTGCTTGCCGCTACCTATATCCATCTTTCCCACGGCAGTGATCCTGCGACCAGCCCTATTCCATCAAGTATCAACCAAATACCTATTCCACAAACTATCAATTCCATTAATCTACCTAGGTATCTATTTAAACTACTTATATATCTAAGATTAGGTTTTTAAGAGTGCACTGCAAACACATTCAACTAAATTAAAATGATGTACACATGCCATTCATACTTATGTAATATTTACAATACTAATTTTAATGTACAAAATCAATTTCTGAACTGTACTGTCAGCAGACAGCTGTTTTTGGACACCTGCTGTCACTGTCAGTCAACTGTCAAATGGGGAAAACAGCGAGAAACCGCGCCAGCATGGACCAAAAAACTTTATAAATTAAGTTTTAGTTTAAATAATCAACATTTTTTTTTGTCACAACTATTCCATACACCATGTTTGCTAAAAGTTATAAGTTAAAATCGAACAACACATTGAAAAATTCGGAAAAGTGAGTCAAATATAAAGGTTCGTTATTCGCATAAGTAGCCAATTTTTACAAAATTTTAATTTTCCGTTTCAGGAAGCATCTTGCTCAGCGTATCATAGAAGAGTTCGGAGCAGCGACTGAAGAAAATGTGAAGGAAATAGTGCCAGTGAAGTCAAACACTAGTTGTATGAAGGTGGTGCTACATTCCGGTGCAATTGTCAATGTTTACGTAGTGGATGGAATGCCGATGATCATCGAGGACGATAAGGGCTTGGTGCCGACTGTTTGCGCCCTCTGGAAAGTTCCAAATTTAGTGCCCACCCTAATAATTCACACCCCAGTGTTGCCAAAGGTTAGATTATTAACAAATTTTTAAAAGATTTATAAATCTAGCAGTTATATCCTTAAATTTACAAAAACATTAAAATTCATTTTTACATAATCAAATAAGGGTCAGAGCATAGATAAATGATTGGTCAATTATCTATGGGTCAGAGTAAAGTTTCTCGTTAAAAACTATTCTTGAAATTTACATGCTGCATGTTTTTATCAAATTATTGGTAAACATGAATACATAAGAAGTAAATTTTTTTTATAAAGCCAGGTAGACAAATTACTCTACCCCACCTGATGTTAAGTTGTGATAAAGTCCAAACGCGAAGATAGCTGGTACAGCAGTCAAAAAATGCCACACCAACCATCCTCACCTTGCCGGCCTACAAAAATGCTTCTAAGTTTTTCTAAATTGCATTAAAAGTTTTTTTAATTATGTGTTACCTACCTAATGATATGATTGGCTGGTTTCCGCAAATAGTAGCTACTCCTTCAGCAGTATTGGTTGAATGTAACTGTCAAAAACATTCAATGGCAGGTTTCTAGCCCGTCATAGCTAGTTATATTTTTTATACTATCCACATTTCCACTATTTATATAGAAGTTTACATTACATATGCAATAAAAAATAAACACTGAATACCTATTTAATTATTTTTGTTGGTTTTCATAGTTTATATAATATAAATTATTGCCATTATGATGCACTGTAGTTTCTAATGCTTGAAATTATGAAGTACAAAGATCATTAATATTATAATATAATGTTTTATATCATTATTAGTTGACCCAGAGAACTTCATATGAGTTACGGTTAGAGAATGTCTTAAAATTAGGGATTGATCCAGAAAAAAACACATTCTGTTTTACCACAATACAAACAAAATTTCCTCATCAAAAAACCTGTCACAACTTACCTCGGTGATAGGAGAGTTGTGACAGAGGGAGTAGTTTTACTTGTATGTTGATTTTCTCATAACCGTATTAATTTAAGTAATTTTGATATCTTATGGGAAAAGGGAAGGAATGGTGCTATATTTATTCACATAAGGCATAACTGTAAATTGCTCACATGAGTGAGATATATCCCTAAAATTAAAAATTGTCACAACTCTCCTAGGTCTCCCCTAGTGTTGATTCTGGCATGATACTCTAAACTTACAACTTAATTTAACATAATTCTCTTCTTTTCATTCTGTATAGAGAATGACAATGTATTCTACACTGTTGTCAATTTTTATTTTATTTTGTTAGTAGAGTATAAGTTGATTATCATTTTGTGTTACATAATTTGAATTTTTGAAAGCAAGTGTTCAGTGTATACTTTGGGAATGCTCCTGCTGGAAAAAGATTTGTGTAGAAAGATGGACCGTTTAGCCAAGTCTGAATTGTAACGTTGCAGGTAGCAGGCGGCGCGCCTCTGTACCTACCAGGCGTAGTGAAGAGCGGGACATGGCCGCAGTGGTCGCGCGGTGCAGCGATGGCGGCCTGCACGCAGGACAACCGCGCCGCCGGCCTCGTGGGCCGCGCCACGCTAGGCCGCGCGGAGATGGCACTGCTGGCCGCGTCAGTACACGCACATATATATACTAGGGCGCGGGGGTGGCCTACACGCAGGACAACCGCGCCGCCGGCCTCGTGGGCCGCGCCACTCTAGGCCGCGCGGAGATGGCACTGCTGGCCGCAGTACATGCACATATATATACACTATTACTATACACACTGTGGCGGCGGTGGCGGCCTGCGCGGGACAACCGACGCCTTCGACCACTCGAAGATGTTACCATGGATAGCGTCATTATATTCACATTATAGGCACTAACGTCATGTCTTTAGTGCCTAAATCTATTCTTCCACTCGCGAGATCGTCCGCGTTATATTAGTTAGTGTTTTTGAGAATTCCGCCTAGGGACCTAACCTGTTTGTTTTTTTTCAGGGTCAAAAGGAATGTCTCAATCCAGGAAATAAACTCTATATTTGCCAAATTCCATCCAAATCTGTTCAGCCATTTTGAATTAATAAAGTAAATTATTTTTTTCACGTAAGTAAAAAAAAACTCATTTACAGTAAAATGCCTAAAGACAATTAATTACTTAATATGAATACTGGTGCTTTCAATAGGAAAACCTGTTTTACAAGCCACTAGGCCTCCACTCCCAAAACTAACTACTGCACAAACCAAGCAAACTTTGTACCTACTATTTATTTCATCAATTTTTTTTTCATATGAGTTCTGCTTAATACGTTTGCTGCAATTATGTGCCATTGTTAACTGTAGGTACCACAAAATTATATAATCTCGAGGCAAATTGATTTTGAAAGAAGAAATATTTCATTGAGTAACAAACTTACGAATTTTCACATTTATAGTGGATTTTAGTATATATATACCCTCTTAAGCGGCAAACGGCCGACCGTCGGCAATTTTTATTACATGAAAGAATTTTGCAAATAATTTGTTTCACAGTATAGATTGCTGTATATGCATGTATTTGGAATGACTTGGCACATGGGCAAACAACAGTTCAATTTACTGGACTCATTTCTGTACACCCAAGTGATCACAAGAAACTATACATAAAATTCATTCAAAATAAATATTCTGAAATAACTATTGTCGCACATGCGAATAGAAATCATCTTTCTCCAAAGCGGTTTTTCCAGACACATTAAAAGTATCAGTTATTAAGCCTCATCATAAAAAGGGTGACGCTACTGATATAAATAATTTTCGTCCCATAGCTATGTTAACAACATCATCAAAAATATTTAAAACCGCTATGATAAAACGCCTTGTGGGTTTTTTATGAAAAATTTTACATTTTTTGTAAAAATCAATGTGTTTTTACGAAGTATCACTCCACCTCACTGGCTGTTTATAAATTTATAAAGAATGTATTAGAAACAATTGAAAACAAAAAAAAATGCAGTTGGGCTTCTTCTTGACTTAAGTAAAGCATATGATAGAGTTTGTCATGCCACTCTACTAACTAAATTATACCAATCGGGAATCAGGAGATTGGCTCATAGTTGGTTTAAATCATACCTCACCAATTGCTTTCAACTAGTAGAAATTGAAAATACTAACTTTGAGACGGGCCTAATTACTTCAACTAGATCTGATGTGGTCTCTGTGAAGGGGTCTATCCCGCAAGGTAGCGTTTTGGGATGTATCTTGTTCCTGTTTTATATAAATGATTTGCCAAAAATATTGGACAGTAAAAGTATTCTCTTTGCAGATGACATTTCCGTCTTAATACCTTGCTACAATACTTCAGATCTGAAACTTATTCTGAATTCTACTCTTGGCAAAATAACTAACTGGCTAGAATCCCATAACCTGCAACTTAACCTTAATAAGACCAAAATCATCCAATTTAAACCATATAAAAAGGGTCTGGATTAAAAATATCATACAGTTACAATGACACGAAATTGGATGTAGTAAGCTCCACTACTCTGTTGGGTATTGAATTAGACACACATTTGAATTGGAAACAGCACATCCAAAAAATAACATAATAGCTATCATCTTTTATATACGCACTCCAGCAATTAAATCGTGCCAGCGATTTTCAGTCCGCTATTGTATAAGCTACTTCAATACTTTCGTATGGAATCGTATTGTGGGGAAACTCATGTGACGTTGGGAATGTGTTTGTTTTGCAGAAAAAATGTATACGAATACTGGCTAACATTGATCAAATGGAATCCTGTAGATCTTTTTTTGTTAAGTATAACATATTAACTTTAGCTTCCATCTATATTCTGGAGTCTTGTAAAAACATCCAGAATTTTATTCGCCACTTAAAAATAATAAAAGGAATAATAGAAACTTATATAAATTTAGATTACTGATATCGAAAATGAAATTAGTAACATCTAGCCCCCATATAATGATGATTAAGATATAAAACCATGTTCCTATCTATATAAAAAACTATAACACACCGACGCAATTTTTCAAACATTTAAAAGACTTCCTTATTGCCAAATGTTATTATGACTTAAATGAATTTTTCGATGACAAATCACCCAGCCAATTTAATGCTTCAGACTCTTAAGAATTTAATTTATTAATAATGTATTTAAATGGAGGAGCTCGATGGCGCAGGTGGTTAGCGCGTTCGGCTGCCATCCTTGAAGTTAAGCAACTTTCGCAGTGGTCGGTCATTGGATGGGTGACCAAAAATTTTCTATTTCGAGTTCCTCCGTGCTTCGAAAGGCACGTTAAGCCGTTGGTCCCGGCTGCATCTGCAGTCATTAGCACCCGCCAATCTCACTGGGCCCGCGTGGGGGTCATGGCCCAATCTCCCTATTCCATCCATAGGGAAGGTCTGTGCCCCAGCAGTGGGGGTGTAAGGGGTTCTAAATACACCTGCAAGAACCCAAGCCAACCTCACCTTCACGTGGCGCACCCCGTTGACCAACAGACGAGGCTCTGACAAACCGACCGTTGGCGGTATAACCATCCAACGACGTAGGGGAGGAAAATCTCACTGGTGACGGGCAGCAGCGTCATCAATAAATAAACCTACGCTCTGCGATCGCCAACCCGCCTGCCCAGCGTGGCGGGGGGTGCCAAGAATCTCCGGGCTACGGGAGGCCACCACAAAAGACTGACCCTGGGGACGTACAACGGACGCACGCTACGGCTTGACTCGCATCTGGCGCAACTCGAGGTGGTACTTGGAAAGATTAGGTGGCACATTTTAGGGTTAAGTGAAGTCCGAAGAGAGGGGGAGGTCACCATAACCCTCGAGTCGGGCCACCTAATGTACTTCCGCGGGGGAGACCAACAGTCCCAAGGTGGCGTTGGGTTTTTAGTAAATAAGTCCCGTGCCGATAACGTTGTGGAAATGTCCAGCGTGTCGAACAGGGTAGTGTACCTTATTATAAAGCCTCACCGAGAGGTATAGCCTCAAGGTGGTGCAAGTGTACGCACCGACCTCGACGATAATCGAGGGTCCAAAGTGTTCGTACAATCTCTTGGAAGAAGCCATCTGATGAAGTTGACCACAGCAAGTGGGGAAGTTGTTGCTTCAAAGCCGGCAGTCCTTTCGGAAGTGGAAGACTTCTACAGCCAGTTATACGCATCATATGCATTTCGACCCGATCCCGAAAGGGCTATGCTCGGCGTTTCTCTGAAAGATCGCATCAGAAATGAGATAATCCGACAGAGAACCAGAGTTATCGACATAGCCCACCGGATTAGCAAGTTGAAGTGGCAGTGGGCTGGCCATATTTGCCGAAGAATCAATAACCGTTGGGGTAGAAGAGTTCTGGAGTGGAGACCGCGTCTAGGCAAACGTAGTGTAGGACGTCCTCAGGCACGATGGAGTGACGATTTGCGCAAGGTGGCTGGCAGGAGCTGGATGCGAGTAGCCCAAGATCTATCTAAGTGGCGTGCATTTGGAGAGGCCTATGTCCAGCAGTGGACTATGATAGGCTGTTGATGATGATGATGATGTGCCCCAGCATTGGGGTTATTAATAGGCTGATGGTGGTTTTTAAATGAGCAATAAATGATAATATTTTAATGATTCTGGCATGATTCTCTAAACTTTTTCATTCTGTATTGGGAATGACAAGGATACACTGTCGTCGAATTTAGGTTTGGGTTGGAGAGTCATGCTAGAATTGACACCAATGTATGTGTAGAATGATTGAAACTCTATTTATAAATTAAGTATATTGTGCAATTGTATAATGATGTATTTTAAATAGCTAATAACCCTCTTAACTTGCTGTGCTTTTGCAGGGCGTCACATGGTTACTGTATTTTTTATGTACCACCTTATTTCTGTGAATGTGATATGCAATGAATAAATAAATGCGAGTATTTCGCATTGCGGCTATTAAGGAATTCTGAATATTGAAGGTTTTTTTTTCGTAATATAGATATTTATATAGAAGAAATAAAATCTTTACAGAGGCATATGTATGGACACTATTCACGTATACGGGGACCAGTTGTGCAAGGATGTGAAATTCAACAAGATAGAGAGACCCAAGCTGGGCCCCGCCTGTTATCCGGGTGAAGACGTCACTCAACTCGCTACCGATCTTAGTGAGGTAACGTATACTCTATCCAACTTCCTCTGAGACAAAAAATAAACAAATAAACCAATGTTTCTAAAACTTCTTTATAGAGAGTAAAGACGGCTGGTGTAATCCGACCGATGAGACCGATACCAAATATTCACATTCTAACATACATTATTTCTTTGTTTCTCAGGTTTTCACGCACATCACTCATTAAACAAAACTAGTTTTTTTTTTTCAATAAATAAATAAAGTTTCGTGCATTAACCCGTAAAAAACTAATACATTTTTTACTTTGGCACTACCCTTCATTTTAGTAGTATTATAATGCGTTTGAGGAGCTCGATGGCGCGGGTGGTTAGCGCGTTTCGGCTGCAATCGTTGAAGTTAAGCAACTATCGCAGTGGTCGATCATTAGAAGGGTGACCAAAAATCTTTTATCTCGAGTTTCTCCGTGCTTCGGAAGGCACATCAAGCCGTTGGTCCTGGCTGCATCTGCAGTCATTATAATCTGCCAATGAGCACTGAACTCGCGTGGGGGGTCATGACCCAATCTCCCTATTCCATCCTTAGAGAAGGCCTGTGCCCCAGCAGTGGGCTGATTAATTGGCTGATGATGATTATGCGTTTAATGATTGGGAACAGCTACAGTTTTAGGTCTTTTTAATGTGTAAATTTTTATTATGATTTTATATGCGTATAAAATGAAACCAATTGAACAATGGGCAAAACGCACCTAGCTCCGCCAACAATGTAATTAGTATGAATCGATAGATCTATGAAAAACTAGCCTTTTTTATTATGACACCGTAAAGAAATATCCTGGGAGTCAAAAGATATTGCACCGTAAAAAATACCCTGGTAGTCAAAAGAAATAACACATGGGCATATTTAAGTAGCTCAATAAATTAATTTTATTGTACCTCTATTTTATATTATTAGTAACCATAATAATATGCCTTATCGTACTATACAACCAGATATACGAAAAGCCTGCCGACCATCGTGCGCTTGCACTTGCAAATAGTCGACTCGTCTTACTTCATTGTGATGTGCGCTCCCTGACACTTAATTGATTTTTATCCAACATGGTTTTGTCAATTAGTATGGAAGAACTGGCATCATATTTTCTCCGAAACATGGACAAGTTTGGGCGATTTGTGATCGCTCCGTTTTACAAAAAAGACAATTTACTATGTATAACGAACAGAATGTTTGAAAAAATACCAACCCCCCGCATATTTTTGGATTTACTATAGTGCGGCAGAATAACTTAATTATAATAATTATTAATAATTTACTATAGGGGGCACCCTTGAACCTTGTAAAGTACTCCCATAATACCTGAGCCTCCTATGTAGTGTCGAACTAACTAACTAAATTAATTCTATTGTTTCAATAATGTTCGTTCGTTATAGTACTTGTACCTATTTAACTTAAAATAACTAAAGACCCCCGGGATGGAATTTGATGCGCTTTGGCACAAATGATCATGACTATAATACCTTTCAAACAAGTGTAGTTTAAGCCGTGGCGGACGTGGGTGCAGCGTCCATACATTTTTGCCCAATGTCCTTTACCTTTTTATGGTTTGTTGGTCTCAGAAGAAATTTGAATAGAGTACAGTTCAAATGTTGCCTTAAATAATAGTTTTGTGTGATTATGACTGTAATTTAATTAAGCATTATCTGAAAAACAGCTACATCAACGCGGCGACGGTTACAAAGTCAAAAGTACACTATGTTTGCAGTTGCGTAGCGTGCGTCGATTTATTTAATTTTTCAATATTTTTGATGATTCGGATCGTTTATAAACCATCTAGCCTGTTAAGGTTCCAAAACGTCTTATTTGAAATTAACTTTTTATTCATTCAATTATTGTGTAATGATTATATAAAAATAAGATTCTCCTTTCTTTTTTAAAAAAAGCATTATGTAGTGCGATTCAAACGGTTTTATGATGATTGTGAAGTTAACAGCGAGCGCTCCTATGCACAGATTTCAGTTCAGTATTATCCTGCGTGCCTAAATCACCCAATGTTTCGTTTACTGCGCCGCGACTTGCGCTAACTTCACGGCCGCCATTAGAGCAAACGCACAAGTGGCTCAGTAAAGCCACTAGACATATCTACTGATCACCGTCGCTAGTGGCTAAATGGTGGCCACTCGATCGCTTAGTTTGCGCCGATACTACTCATACAAAATGTATGAAAAACTCGACTGCAACTAAGACGCGTTTAGTGGCCTAGTTAGTCATTAGTGGTAGGTACTAGGCTCAATCTGTGCTCGTTTTTAAGTCTGAATTCAATCCACCTATAGTGCGGCAGCGATCTTTATGAATTTGACAAAATTTGGAACTACCGCCACTTTTTTTTGTAATATTTTGTTTGACATTTATGTAGACAGAGGACTATCTGAACTGTCACTGACATTCATAAAGATCCTAGTCGCATTGTTCATTTCTTCGACTACTAACTTGAGTTAAAATCCCAACCGCCATGAAGTTTGAATCACATTGTAAGAAGACCAAAGGGGTTTTTTTTCCATACTGTATGAGTACAACGCCGGTAGCGCCATCTCTTGATGAGTCCGGCGCAGCACTGGTATATCATAGTACGTTTTCCAGTTATTGTGCGCCCCCCGGTAGAGGAGTGCCCCCCCCCCCCCGGGCCCGCGTCATAGATGGGCCCGTGCCACAGTAGTTATACGTGGGGCGGGTAGATGTGTCCGGCGCAGCACTGGTATATATCATAGTAAGTGTTCCAGTTATCGGTGCGCCCCCCGGTAGAGGAGTGGCCCCCCCTGGGTCCGCGCCCCGCCCCCCCGTCCGTCGGTGCCCACCAGCCCCGCGTCATTGAGGAGCCCGTGCCACAGGAGAGTGCTGCTGAAGATACCCAGGAACCAACTGTAGAAGACTCCACTATAATGGGTACGATAATAATACTTTTACTATATTCAACTTCCTCTGAGACTAACCCTCTTATTAATAAACGTAGAATAAGTTTGGATTGTTTACTCCATGTTTTGTCTTGTTTTTCTCTGTCTCGTCTTGTTCTTGTTTTGTTCATTGAATAACAAATGTCATTTGAGTGATATGAACAAAACGCAGCGTACCTAGTCTAAGCTTATTCCTCGTTTATTAATAAGGGGGATAAGGTCCTATTTTACTTTTAAACCAACAGTTCTATTTTAATTTTTGAAGCATTTAACTGCTAGATATGTAAACGTAAAGAAAATTTTACTAGAAAATATCTGTAGTCCGTATAAAACTTTTGTAGTAAAATGTTCTTTAAATAAACCAATGATTCTAAATCTTTATACCTATTGAGAGTAAAGATAGCCGGTGTAATCAAAATAATTACATAATTTCACACTTCAACGTAAATTATTTGCTTAAACACTACTCTTCAATTTAATAGTATTATAATGCGAACAAACTTTGGGAATAGCTACAGTTTTGTTTAATATCGCCTTAGTTTTAAAAATTTAATAGGCAACAAGTAAATACGAGTACTTAAATCTCGCGACAAGCTTTTATAACATATAAATTGTGTCAAATGTGTTAAATTTGAAATGACGTTATAAGTTAACAGTAAAAGTTTTAGTGTAAAAGTTTATTTTTTTCTTTTAAGCGCATATAAATAAAAGCTTGTTTCTAAAAAGGTTTTTTTACCTTAATTTTTTATGATTTGTTTATGTAAGTAATTCAATTGTATATTAAGTCGCATTTATTCATAAACCTATCGGTTTAAAGACGATGATGAGGGAAGAGCTAAATTATTTATTATATCTCATATCATTAGGGTAACCAAAACTAAACTAACTTGAGTTCCTCTGTACTACGGAAGCTCCTGGAGATTGCTGTTGGTCTCAGCTGCATTATCGAATTAATACAAGTTAAAAATACCCGGTTAAAAATAATGGTCAGTGCATTCGTTCAGATAGCGAAGGATGCGGGTTCGAGTCCCATCTGCTGCCTGGTCCGCGTGGAATTTTTCTAGTATAATTTTCTTTAGATTTGAACATCTCGCAGTTAAATGCTTCATAAATCTGCAAATATAAGTTAAAAATAGACAATCGATGGTCAGCAATATAATATCACCGCTATCTCTTATCATAACAGAGGAGGGAGACTGTGAGACAGAGACGGAAGATAGTCAACAAATTCCTTCAGATATGGACGGTCTCCTCACTTGGTGTTTGCTCACGTTCCTCAAATATGGGGGGAAGAGAGCAGAACTTCCGCTCAAGACCAACCTGCTGTACAAGTCAGTATTGAACACTAATTATACATCCATTGCAGAGCTCGATGGCACAAATGATTGGCGCGTTCGGCTACGATCGTTGAAGTTAAGCAACTTTGGCAGCGGTCGGTCATTGGTTGGGTGACACAAAATTTACTATCTCTCACTCCTCCATACTTCGGAAGGTACAGTTGGTCCCGGCTGCATCTGCAATCGTTAACAACCACCAATCCGCACTGGGCCCGCTTTATGGTTTATGACCCAATCTCCCTATTCTATCCATAGGGAAGGCCCGTGCCCCAGCCGTGGGGTCATTAATAGGCTAATGATGATACATCCATTCATTTAATGTTTAACTCTTCTCAATAAAGAAAGGAATCGCAAAAGACTTCGTAATACATTCTGACTCTCTCGCACAAGCTATCCTAAGTAATGTGCGATAAAGACAGAAGGTCTCGCCACGGTATTTTCGATTATTTTCTTTAATGGCACGAGTTATAAAATGTTCATCATATATCCTTCATCATGCAAAAAAAGTCACTTATCTTCTTAAATCGGCACCTATTTGTAAATACCATTCCTATAACGTAATCCGTTTAATGTACGTAGTAGTTTTATATGAATGAATTAATCTATACTAATATTATAAAGCTGCAGTTTGTTTGTTTGTTTATTTGTTTGTTTGAACGCGCTAATCTCTGGAACTACTGGTCCGATTTGATTTTTTTTTTCAAAATTAGGGATCCGTAATAAAATTTCTATTTTGTAACACAAGGTGTAAAATCGAAAACCTATTTTTGCGTGCGCTGCAAAAACTATTGTCAATAGAACAAAATGATGTACTACGGGTTTGTAGATCCCATTAAGACCTACAAAAAAGTCCGCGAGAACATATATCTAGCTATCTTGGTTTAATCACAATAACCGATTTTATGTTCAAAATAATTATTAAATCGACTGAAGAAAAAAAAACTACGTTAAATATGTATCGTAATATTAATCTTTATCGAAATTAAGCATTATGTTATCAAGAGTATTTATGAAGAAGTAAAATACTTTTTGTTTCATCTCAATCGGATATTTCGTTTAAAAGTTATCACGTGTGTAAGATGTTAAGAGTTGGTACCTATAAATTTTATCTCGGTATTTCCACGGAAATGAGAAAAACGCGGGTGAAACCGCGGGGCACGGCTAGTGACAAATAAGTTTAATTAATGTTTCAAAGCTGCACAATAGGCTAGTTGACCCTTTTTGGAAAAAGTTTTTAAATGGTTAATAAATGTTCTATTGGACCGAAAAAAAATGTATTGTATTTTTTTGAGACCTAGAAAGTCACAAATCTTTAATTTTAAAATAGACTTTTCATGGACATACAAAAACGCTGTCGGCCATTTTAGTCTATAGATTATCTATGCTATGACGTTGACGGTAGTAAACAAAAACTCGTAATCACGTAGAAAATAACCTATCTGAGTTTATAATATAAAAATTACATGATTTCTAACAGATACCACGAAAAATATAGTAATTATCATTATTGCATTGTACGAGAATGTAAAAACACATCCTTGAAGACTCCAGGAAAGTTGTGGATTAAAGTGCCGAAAGAAATTAACCTACGCAATACCTGGTTAGAACTTGCTAAAAGTGATCCTGCAACTTTATCGACTCATAGTATTATTTTTGCGAAGATCACTTTGATGTTGTAAGTACTCATTGAATAATATTTTAAGTCTCTTCATTTATTATCAGTTCAATAATAATACAAGTTTTAAAGTTATGTATGAATGACATTTACTTGTTTACTAAAAGAGACGTTACAATCATGGCGGATGTGGCGAACAGCGTTTTTAGTGTTCAAAAAGTATAGACTAAAAATTATTTTTTTAAATTAAATTTCTACAGCAATATTCTGCTTTTATGAAGTGAAATCGATATATTTAGGTTCCTTAGACCAAATACTTTAAGAAATAAACATTTATTTAATACAATTCCACATGAGTCAACTAGCCTATTATTGAGTTAATATGGAGATATTTTTCGTTTTTTTTGCGCAAATATGTCCTAAATCGTTGATTGATTTTTCTGGTAAAGTTTCTCAGGTAACTCAAAATTCACGGTGTACATAGTGATCCTAAACAGATAACCACAACTCTACAAGACATTGGTGTCGATTGTGGCATGATTCATCATCATCATGCTGGGGTACAGGCCTTCCCAATGGATGTAATAGGGAGCTTGGGCCATGACCCACCACGCGGGCCCAGTGCGGATTGGCGGGTGCTAAAGACTGCAGATGCACCCGGGACCAACGGCTTAACGTGCCTTCCGAAGCCCGGAGGAGTTTGTGATAGAAAATTTCTGGTCACCCATCCAATGACCAACCACTGCGAAAGTTGTTTAACTTCAACGATTGCAGCTGAATGCGCTAACACTTGCGCCATTGAGCTCCTCTCTAAACTTAAATCTTAATTTAACATGAGTCTCCTTTTCATTCTGTATAGAAATTGATAAGGATACACTGTTGTCAAATTTAAGTTTAGGTGCAGAGCAGAATCATGCCAATTGCCTTCAACAGATCTTTCGCCCCCTTTACTTTTAAAACTCTTTTCATAAAGGCAAATTTTTGGGGCTTATGACGTCACCTAACCTTTCAAACGCATTCAATTCGCTCGTAATAGGGTGGACTTATAATGCGATTCAAATAAGAATAGGAAAGCCAATGACCTCTATCTGTCAAGTGTCGCTTGAAATGAACTGATTGGAACCCTTTTTTAAACCAAACTTTTGTAAACAAACAATAACAAATATTGATAATTAATATCGGTTAATATTATTTTTTTCACTTATTGAGCTTTGGCCATGAATGGTTGATAACCTAAATCGTCAACCAAATGTCACTTTAAGTTGCGTTCAGAAACTCGATTTCAAACTTTCGTTTACTTATAGGATGCATGTTCGTATGTGACCTAGTAATAGTGCATGATTATTCATAACTACTCCGGCGGTAATGCAGAAATGAGCGGAATAGAAGAGCTACATTCTGATTAATGTTTTTTCTCACAGTCTTAATTAATAAATATTATTAAAAATCGGTGGGTTTTTTTCTCAATATGAGTAATTAAATGTTATTCAAAAAATTCTGATGCTTTTTCTCACTTAATCTTAGTAAATAAGTTTTATTAAATAAAATCTTTTTTTTGCTCACTCTACCTATTTGGTTTTTTGCCAGCTATGACATCAGAATATGGCGCCCAGTCGGTCCTATTCTTAGTTGAATCGCATTATATAGTTTGATTTATAATGTTTTCAGGAACCACATAATGCCGTTGTGTCCGCCGGACCGAACCCTGGACGTGAAGAAGTCCAGCTACAAGAAGCTGGGCAAGTTCCTAGAAGCGATGCAGCAGGTAATATTATAAATGGGAAAGTTTGTATGTTTGTTATTGGATCACGCAAAAACAACTGAACGGATTTGGATGAAATATGGCACGCATATAGTTTATAATCTGGATTGAGACATAGGATACTGTATGTCCCGGAAAAATATCAGGTTCGTGCGGGAGTCTTAAAAACTAAAGTTAACTCGGATGAAGTCGCGGGCGGGCGCTAGTCTTATCTATATTGTTTAAAGTTTTTCTGGTATATATGAAATAAGGATATTACGTGGTTATTAAGTGGTATTTTTTCCATTTTTTTTTTTGTAATTCATACTAATATTGTAAATGTGAAAGTATGCCTGTCTGTTACCTCTTCACCTTAAACCGCTAAACCAATTTACATGAAATTTGGCGTAGAGATAGTTTTTATACCAGAATTCATTCTTGAAATATGAAACTCTGTGTTTTATAATTAACGTTTAATTTTTTTCTTAGCTTAGTAGATAAGTGTTCAAACTTTTTTGTTCTCGAAAATATAATAGGCTGATTTTAAAAATGTAAACTTTTCGATCGCGTTTATAATACTATATAGTAGAGTTGATTCTGGCATGATTCTTGAAACTTAAAACTAAAGGAGATTCGATTTTGCCCAATTTTGGACCTTGGTACAAATTATCTCAAAATACATTTAAAATTATACTTAAAAAAACTCGCTCATCAAAATCTCAATAAATTCCATTCAAATTGCTGAAAAATCTGTATTAAAATTGAGAATATGCGTATAAAGAAACGTTATTACTTAGACATAATTTGTCACTGACTGACAACAGATGACAATACTTTTGAATTAAATTCACTTCCTTGATTGTGATTGGTTGTATCAAAAAACACGTAATTTCCGCAAAAAAACATGTACATTTAAAATATTATATTCAGCAAAATATATTATCGTAATAATATATTATCTGTGTTACCATCAATTTAAATGTTTATTGAGACATTTTTATGTGGTACAAATGGATAATAAAGTTAATTTATATTTTTGATGAATATGGTGTATTTTTGCTACACGTAAAAGAATGATAAATTTTTGAAGTACAAAAAATTTGGCAGAGGTGTATGGAAAAAAGAATGTATCCTTAATCAGTCTCGCTTTTTCATTCCGTGTAGAAAATGAGGAGAATACACGATATTCGTCATTCTGTAGAGTATTTGAATAAAAAAAAACTAAATAATAAAAAATAAGGTTACCGTGAAAATGTATCTTTGGACATTATGGCGTTTCACTTAGTTTGTGATGTTACACGAAACACGACTATTATTAAAATGTGAAACGATACAATGTAATGTCACTTGGACCGGAAGTTTACTAGTTTGTGACGTCAATTTACTCTTGGCCAATCCCAAGCGTTTTTGGTCACGTAACCATAGAATGAAAAAATCATTTCTTTTTAAAGATTTTTAAGCAAAGTTATGAATTATTTATTTGTTCTAACTGAACAGTAAGATCAGTGCTGATATTTATATTAAACACAGATGCTTACAACTGGTACTTTATTTTTCATACTGTCAAATAGTCTAGTGAATCATGCCAGAGTCGACAGCACTATAAATATATTAGAATAGTGAAAATCGTTCAAAACCATTCGAACGTGGGATCGCTTAGAGATTTCTAGTATATATTATAATATAGTGAAGTATCATAACGTATCGTGTATGACGCAAGGAAGGTCTGGTGGAGGTGCGCGAGATAGAGAAGGGTGTATCGGCGCTGGTGTCGCTGCACCTCACTCACCCGCGCGTGAGGCATCTTGCCGCGCCGGCTCCCTCTCCCTCTCCCGCGCCCGTAACGTATCGTGTATGACGCAAGGAAGGTCTGGTGGAGGTGCGCGAGATAGAGAAGGGTGTATCGGCGCTGGTGTCGCTGCACCTCACTCACCCGCGCGTGAGGCATCATGCCGCGCCGGCTCCCTCTCCCTCTCCCGCGCCCGTAACGTATCGTGTATGACGCAAGGAAGGTCTGGTGGAGGTGCGCGAGATAGAGAAGGGTGTATCGGCGCTGGTGTCGCTGCACCTGACTCACCCGCGCGTGAGGCATCATGCCGCGCCGGCTCCCTCTCCCTCTCCCGCGCCCGTAACGTATCGTGTATGACGCAAGGAAGGTCCGGTGGAGGTGCGCGAGATAGAGAAGGGTGTATCGGCGCTGGTGTCGCTGCACCTCACTCACCCGCGCGTGAGGCATCTTGCCGCGCCGGCTCCCTCTCCCTCTCCCGCGCCCGTAACGTATCGTGTATGACGCAAGGAAGGTCTGGTGGAGGTGCGCGAGATAGAGAAGGGTGTATCGGCGCTGGTGTCGCTGCACCTCACTCACCCGCGCGTGAGGCATCATGCCGCGCCGGCTCCCTCTCCCTCTCCCTCTCCCGCGCCCGTAACGTATCGTGTATGACGCAAGGAAGGTCTGGTGGAGGTGCGCGAGATAGAGAAGGGTGTATCGGCGCTGGTGTCGCTGCACCTCACTCACCCGCGCGTGAGGCATCATGCCGCGCCGGCTCCCTCTCCCTCTCCCGCGCCCGTAACGTATCGTGTATGACGCAAGGAAGGTCTGGTGGAGGTGCGCGAGATAGAGAAGGGTGTATCGGCGCTGGTGTCGCTGCACCTCACTCACCCGCGCGTGAGGCATCTTGCCGCGCCGGCTCCCTCTCCCTCTCCCGCGCCCGTAACGTATCGTGTATGACGCAAGGAAGGTCTGGTGGAGGTGCGCGAGATAGAGAAGGGTGTATCGGCGCTGGTGTCGCTGCACCTCACTCACCCGCGCGTGAGGCATCATGCCGCGCCGGCGCCCTCTCCGGCTCCGGCTGCAATCCCGGCGCCCACTGCCGCGTGTGACGACTACAAGCCGCCGCGGATTACGGAGGTGTTCTGTCTCACGGCCGCTGCCATGGATCTGTTCCCCGGGCTCAAGTGAGTGATTGTTATGTATTCGTCATCATCATCACGGCCTATTGAAACGCCTTAGATCCAACACAAAATTTATCGAATCGAACACACAAATTAATGAGGTGTTTTTAAATTCATAAATTGATATATAAATTTCATTTCTTAATTTCAAAGTTTTTATTAATAAATTTTTATTACTTTAATTAATTAATTATCGATAAGTTGGTAAATAATCAACAACTTGACGGGTCGAAAGTAAGTGCAATAGAAATATCTTTGATTTTTATTCTATCGAAGGAGTATTTTAAACTCGCTAACAAAAAGTACTTTTATAAAAAAACTTAAAAATGCTAAGGCTCTTCATAAATATTGCGTGAACCGGTAACACCTTTAAGTTTCCTCTGCTGGGGCACAGGCCTTCCCTATGGATGGAATAAAGAACTGGGCCTTGACCCACCCGTGGCTTAAAAAAGGTGTGATTTTATGAAACCTGGGTGCAAGTTAAACTTTTAAAATCATTAATAAAATTAATACTTTAAAAAAACTAATAACACCCTTTTATTTACTGCACTAAAAAGCCAAAAATAAACAAAATGTACTCTCTGTTTACTTCATTAGGGCCCTAGAGTTAGCCATGTTTATAGCTTTTTTAACATATACATATGCAAGGTTCCATCAGTTACCTTCCAGTCCCATCATCAGACCAGCTCGATGGTACCATAATATTGTATTGTCATCTAATCTACATAAAATTGCCAAGTTTCATGATGATACAAGAATTAGAAGTGCGTGTAATTCAGATTCTTAGATTTTGTTACATAGTTATATACAAGTGGACCTAATAAAAGCGTGTTATAAAAGTCCTTCCTCGGCTGGGATTCCAACTGGAACCGCCTGCGTAGGAGGCGAAGAAGGCTTTCTACCACTGAAGCACCCGTGCTTGTTGATGAGGTCTGATTTTTTAGTAGCAATTAAAAATGTAATACTAAAGATGAACTAAATAAATTGTGGCGATGTAATGAAATCAAGGTGTCCACATTCTGGAAAGTTAGGGAGAGTCGACCAAAAGTTAGGGAAACTCAAAGTGAAATCGAGAGGCTACCTGGAAAGTCTGGGTAAAACCTAACCTAAAGTTAAGGTTAATTGTATTTTTAGTTTTTTTTATATAATATATTAAATATTTCCTGAAAAATATATTTAGACAATTAAAGAAAGCTTTATTAAGTTTCCAATTTGAATACAGAAACGTGACTTTGACAGGAAGGGTGCAGTATTGAATGCAGCGGATATCCGAGCCGGCGTAGAAACACACGCGCGTACTCATCGCCTGCATTGTGACCGCGCCCTTAAACTGGACCCTGTACTGGCGAGAATTATGCGGCAAAACGTTGGCGTGAGTATACTGTACCCTTCGCACGAACCAATATCGAATTCGTAACGTTTGCGAGTCCGAAATGTCATTGTTAAATGTGTACTGATTTTTAGTTCTCGTTACGTACTTTGTGGCGCTGCTATTCAAGTTTCCATATTTGACATTGACATTTCGCATTCGTAAACTATTCGAATTCGATAAGGGTTCGTGCTAACCGTGGGCGTGACCGCGCCCTTAAACTATACCCCTTCCTAAGATATACTAGCAGAAATTCAACGCGGCCATTAATATCGCAGTAGCATAATAGGGTATTTTCAAAATTCTTGAAAACTGCTTATATTTAAAGATTGGGACAAAGGATTTAACAGAAAAGTCTTTTTCTCCAATAAACCAATTAAAGTTGAATTTATTTTTAATGGTTTTGAATTTACCGCCAAAACGCTCGTTTCGATGACGTATACTGTGTGACGACAACTTTGTGTACACAACAAGTAAAATCGAGTCAGTCGGCTTTCAGAAACCGTACTTCCATTGTGGAAAATAAGTGAAATCGATATACAAAGAAATCGTCAAATAATTACTCCATAATCACAGATCGTCCACAGACAACATAGGTGTTAAAATTCTTTACACAGCGTAGACATCATCGAACCGAGCGTTTTGGCGGTAAATCCAAAACCATTAAAAATAAATTCAACTTTAATTGGTCTAATGGAGAAAAAAGGACATTAATTTGTTTATTTTTATTTTTCTGTTAAATCGTTTGTCCCAATCTTTAAATATAAGCAGTTTTCAAAAATTTGGTAAATATCCTATTTAATTGGTCAGTGCATCCGCCCGGATGCGAGATCGAGTTCCGAATGCTGCCTGGATCACGTGGAAATTTTTAAGTACAATTTTCTTTAGATTTAATAAAGCTAGCAGACAAATTTTTAGAGAATATAATAAAATGATTATGAAATAATGTTTGATAGAAGCTCGAAGGCGCTTAACTTAACTTCAACAGCCAAACGTGCTAACCAATTGCTGATTAGCACGTTTGGCTCTTGAAGTTAAGCAACTTCCGCAGTGGTCAGTCATGGATGGGTGACCAAAAATTTACTATCTCAAACTCCCCCGTGCTTCGGAAGGCACGTTAAGCCGTTGATCCCGGCTGCATCTGCAGTCGTTAGCACCCACCAATTCGCATTGGGCCCGCGTGATGGGTCATGGCCCGATCTCCTATCCCATCCATATGGAAGGTGTGCCCCAGAAGTGGGGACAATAATAGACTGATGATAATGATTATTGTTGCTAGGATACGGCGTCGTGGGAGGAAGTAATGTCCAAGGTGCGGGATTCCCTCACCGCTGCTACTTTAGTAGAAGAGGGGGACGGGGCCGGAATGGAGGGGGGTGGGGGCAGTCGCCTCATCAAGTCCAGGCTCCCTCCCATCACTATGCAGGTTGCCACCAGAGCGGGGAATAAGAAGGTAAGGTTGTACACATATTCTTATACGAATTATTGAGCATCGATCATAGCAGAGGTACATACAGATGCCGCGATGAGAGTTTGGCTTTGACCGTTATTGCGCAGAAGTCAAAAATTGGGTATCAGAGGGGAGGGCCGCGGGGCGGGTGTGTACAGCGCGGCGCCCTGATTGGTGTCCCAGTCGTTCTCTGCCTCTCGCACCGATACCACGTCCCGCGCACTCTGGTGTACATTCGCGTTCACAACGGATTTGATATTTTTGTTATTGTTTGTTAAGTTTTTTTGTTAAAGTTTTTCTGTTAAGTTTTTGTTAAATATTTAAAAGTGAACTAAACATGCGTAAAAGAAACATTGTTTTAAAAAGACAGGCACGAAAAATAGTGTATGACGTGCATTGTTATTTAAAGAAAGAAGCTGACGAATTTATAGATTCTTTGAAACAGATTCGTAATCAGATCGAAGAAGCCGCGGATACTTTACTAACTCCGTCGAACATCACGACCTTAAATTTAAACTCGATTACACAAACTGCTGAAGTCATGAAAAAGGAAACTGTTACTAAATTAAATTGTGTAATCAGTGAATTAGGTAAAATTCAAAAACGAACGTCAGAGGCCACAAAAACTTCAATTGGGACTGTAAAAAATATCTCAACTCAAGCCAAGAATTCAGACTTGATTATTACATTTAGAATACCCGGAAAAAAAAGTCCAAGGTCTAAACCAGTTACTAACATCGACAATTTCGACCAAGGCGTTATAAAGAGATGTATACATAATTTTCACAAAACTAATAACGAACTTCCCACGATAGGAAAACTAAAAAGAAAGCTGGAGGATGATATAAACTTTCAGGGCAGAAAACAACCGTAAAATATTAATCGAAACATCAAACCTCAGATTACAACGTATCGAATACTTACGTAAAATTAAAAAATATAGGGAAGAGGGAAGGCCCATTGTATATACGGATGAATCCTACGTAGATTCATCGCACTCTACAACCAATGCTTGGAGCGATGGTCCTACGGAGGGCATCAAAAACCGATATCAAAAGGACAACGAGTGGTGATAGTCCACGCAGGATCAGAAACTGGGTTTATACCGAATGCGTTACTGACTTTTAAAGCCGGTACTAAAACCGGAGACTCATGACAATATGAATTATGAGAATTATGAAAAATGGCTCAGATCTCAATTAATACCAAACCTACCACCCAATTCTGTTGTAGTAGTCGACAATGCGTCCTACCACAATAAACAATGGGATCTAGCACCGACCTCAAATTCAAAAAAAGCGGACATGCAGGCCTGGCTCACAAGTAAACAGATAAATTATGATGCATCAATGCTAAAACCCCAGTTATACGGTTTGATAAAAGCTAATAAAGAAAGATTCAAAACATTTTCAATTGACCAAATTTTGGCAGAAGCAAACCACAGCATATTAAGACTGCCTCCTTACCATCCAGACCTTAACCCGATTGAAATGGCATGGGCTACTATTAAACAATATGTGGCTAGTAGAAATGTAAAATGGAATATTACAAAATGTACGGAACTCATTAAAGAAAAAGTTTCGCTTATGGGTGTTCAGGAATGGGAAAAGTCATGTAAAAAGGTGAAAGATATCGAAGAAGAATATGCGAAGAATGACCACGTTATTGATTTATTAACAGAGCAATTTATTATTCGCGTCGACGACAGTTCCGACGACGATGAATCTGATGATGATGATGATGACAACTGCGACCTGGGAAGCCCTGAGCCCGAACCCTCAACAAGCAAAAGACGTTGCACAAGCTCCTATCAAGACAGCTCCGCTGGAGCTAGCTGTGATTTTATGGATGGCATCAAACCATTATCTGACTCAGATTAAATAAAATATTTTATAATAAATAATCTTTTTTTTTTTTAAGAATTCATAACACCTGTCAATTATGTTTATCAAGTTCGTATTATTTTCTAAGCATTATAACTACTCACCAACATGCCCGGTCAGCGCGATGTATTACTTACGACCCATACCTACACCTTCCTATGGGTGAGTGAAGGCCTGTGCTCCAATAGTGGAAACATTTAGACAGGTGATGACGATGACTTTTAACAGTTAAAAATTACGGTACATTGTCACTTAACATCCAGAAGTGGACGTCCTATGACTGAAATGATGATGATGATGATTAACACAGATTTATTTTAACCGTTAAAACAATTTTGACTTTTATTGTAACCGCTTAAAAACTAGTTTTATTTAAAACGATATACGAGTAGGTATTTTTGTATGTCAGCTTAATATTAGTACAAATATTAAAGTTATACAAATATCTATACAGATAGGTCATAAAAAAGAAAAGTCTTGTGTGCGTGACAGTATCCATGCGCAGTAATCCCCTCCACTCGACGGTCAAAGCCAAACTCTCATCGCGCGAGCTGTACCCTGCGCAGTAGCAATTTGACTTACAAAAACGTTTATTGCACAAGTTTATTGATGTGTTACATTTTTCCTCTTGCTTTCCTGCGATTTATGGGAGTGATTTCGTGAAATAGGACGGAAGTGTGTAACAGGAAATCGCGAAACCATACGCTATTTGATTTTAGAACATAATGTTCAAATGTCTCATTCCTTTTGTAGTAAGTTTTATTTCTTTTTTTACTAATATTAGGTGAGGTTTCAAATGTTACACATCATACGCGACTACTGTTAGGCTCGCTCGTTTTTCTGTCTATGCATTCGCTCAAGTTTGTCGCTACCTATGCTGATGATAAGATAATAAAGTTTTATAGGATATCATAATCCATAACGCGGTAGTAGCAGTGGTCAGGTCGCGCACCAACATCACACTACAATTCTTTTACTGCGTCTTGACTTGCACTTACTTCAGTTTGAAACGCACTATACCGACAATACGTTGTTAATGTAGAGTTTCATTAGCTTTTAATACAATAACCAATTGTATGTCAGTGGCGACAGGGTTCTCTGAACTTAAAACTAAATTTCGTCTCTCCTTTTCATTCTGTATAGAGAGTGACAGGGATACAATGGTGTCAATTCTGACACGACTCTCTAAACCTAAACTTAAATTTGAGAACACTGGTGTCAATTCTGACACGATTCTCTAAACCTTAACTTAAATTTGACAACAGTGCATCCCTGTCATTCTCTATACATAATGAAAAGGAGAGACTGATATTAAATTTAGTTTTAAGTTTAGAGCAGCTATACTCTAAGTGTGTTCCGCGGAACCCTAGGGTTCCGTGATACCTCTGTCGGGGTTCCGCAAGAATTTAGAAATAAAAAAATCAAAACACCTCTCTCTGGTCGCTCCGCGGCTGTGCGGACTCCGCGGCCGCGCGGAGACAAAACGCTATGAATGTTATTTATTTATTTATTTGTATTTGTATAAGCTTGTGTTACATTAGCTGGTACAATATCTCATAAGTTTGGTCTCAACAATTTTATACTTGTACAACGCGTTCGCTCTAAGTTTGCCGGTCTGTGGAATGCGCGTACCCTCCCCCACGTGACAACAAAACTTATAATGTGTCATAGTTTTACCCAAATATCTAACGTACACAATTTTTATTGTTACAATTAAATAAAAAATTTCGAACGTCATACACTCATACCTATCGCCAGCGGCAAACTTAAAACGAGCGGGTAGGTATACTTGTAAGCGCTCAGTCTCTTTGATAAAAGCCGCCTCTGAATTAGACGCTATAGTTGTCAACTAGCGACTTTCGTCTCTAACTTCAAAGGATAAAGTCGATATTGTTTACAACGCTATTTTTAAATTTCTGTTTTTATTTTTGCTTTTTGTTTATCAAAGGTGCCGACTCGAGTATTTTCGAGAATATTTGAGATCGAGTCTAGGACTAAGTATAAAAGCGGCGATCGCGCGTTGGCGTCGTCAGTTGATGATTAGCGTTCGGAGCGATAAGTTACTACCTACTTACAAGCTCGCTAGCGAGAAACTGGTGTTCATTGTTTTACTGCCTGCTGTATTCTGTTGTCTCAGTTTTATACATTTCTTCCCTGTAGGTTCTAAATTTAGTCTCTTATACGCAGTAACGATTGTGCATTATTTAAACCCCACTATCCTGACTTGTAACATTATAAATAAAGAAGAATGGAACGTTGGCTTAAAGGTGTTAAACGTGTTCCAACAACATCTTCTAATGACGCTGAATGTTCAAAAGCAATGCGCGCGGAGAATTTAGCAATCACCGATCCAGAAGATGATGCCACGAGTGCCACGACGTCAAGCTCGACGGTTTCAAAGACGAAAAAAAGGAAGTATGATGAATCTTATATCAGTTTCGGATTTGTTGATTCCAACGGCTCACCTCTCTGCATGCTCTGTAGTAAACTGCTTCCTAATAGTTCCATGGCACCTGCCAAATTGCGTCGACATTTAGAAACCGTACACCCCGAGACTAAAGACAAGAATAAAGAATTTTTTGTTCGCAAAAAAGATCAGTTATTAGAAAGTCAAAAAAATATGATGCATGTAACACAAACTACCAACGAAAAGGCCACGGAGGCATCATACTTAGTTAGCTATCGCATTGCACAAGCAGGTGAAGCGCACACTATCGCTGAGAAATTAATAAAACCATGTGTATTAGACATAACAAAATGTATGCTTGATGAAAAATCTGCAAAGCATCTTTCTACTGTTCCGCTATCAAACGATACTGTTTCACGACGAATCCATGATCTGGCAAGCTACGTCAAACAAGAACTAGTTACACGTCTACAAAATACACGATTCGCTTTGCAAATGGACGAGTCGACTGATGTCGCTGGTTTGGCTATCCTGCTGGTTATTGTGAGATATCCATATAAAAGTTCTTTTGAAGAAGACATGCTTATGTGTTCATCGCTGCTTACAAACACTACCGGGGAAGAAATTTTTAATAAAATAAATATATTTTTTGAAGAACATAATCTCAGTTGGAACAATTGCATTGACATTTGTACAGATGGGGCCAAGGCGATGACAGGTAAAACAGCAGGAGCAGTGTCACGAATGAAAAATAAAGCGCCTAATTGTAGTTCCAGTCATTGTATTCTGCATAGACAAGCACTTGCGATGAAGCAAATGCCGTCTAATCTAAAATTAGTTATGGATGAAGCGGTAAAAATAATTAATTTTATCAAATCACGACCACTACAATCCCGATTGTTCTCATTATTGTGTGAAGATTATGGCAGCAAACATAAAACACTGCTGCTCCATACAGAAGTGCGATGGCTGTCTCGGGGAAAAACTTTAACAAGGCTATTTGAACTTAGAGCCGAGTTACAAATGTTTCTTTCAGCAGATACTTCTTTTAATTTGAAGGACCGTTTGTATGATAAAACTTGGTTGTTCCGATTGTCTTTTATGGCGGATATCTTTCAAAAACTTAACGAATTAAATTTATCATTGCAAGGTAAACAGACAACAGTGTTTCAGGCCTATAATAAAATAACTACTTTTAAAAGAAAATTAGATTTTTGGATCATTTGCATTGGTAAGAAAGAAATAGAAAGTTTTACGTTACTCACTGAGTTTGTTAGCGAAAACGACTCAGAAATGTTTGAAGATAATGTGTTTGAAGAATTGGTCCAATATCTCAGTTCGATGCGCGCATCTTTTGAAAAGTATTTTCCCGAAGAACACAATACAAAAATTAAAGTGAACTCCTGGATTCATAATCCTTTTTTACCCAACTTGGAAAAGCCTGAAAACATGTCAAATGAGATATATGAATCTCTTTTAGAAATGTCATCAGACACAAGTATGGAGTCATTGTTCAAAACGACGCCTCTTAATGATTTTTGGTGCAGAATCCAAGATGAATATGCAATGCTTGGCCAAATGGCTCTGGATATTCTTCTCCCGTTCCCAACTACATATTTGTGCGAAACAGGATTCTCTACCTACGCAGCCACGAAAACAAAATATCGCAATAGACTGGACGCCGAAGCTGATATGAGACTCCAACTTTCTTCCATCAAACCTGATATCAAGCAATTGATGAAAAATAAAAAACAGTTTCATACCTCCCACTAGTTAGATTTTTTCTTTTTTAATGTTTTCTATTATTGTCCTTACCAAGTGGTGAAGTAAATAATAATTAGTAACGGATACATTGTACTTTTATTATGCTGATTAATATAGAATACACTTATAAAAATAATTGTTTTATTGTAGGGTTCCATCAAGTATTTTGCTTCCCAAAAGGGTTCCGTCATTTAAAAAGTTTGAGAACCACTGGTTTAGAGAATCACGCCAGAATCGACACCAGTGTATCCTTGTCATTCTCTATACGGAATGAAAAGGAGAGATTGATGTTAAATTTAGTTTTAAGTTTAGAGAATCACGCCAGAATCTACACCACTGTTGTCAAATTTAAATTTAGGTTTACGAGAATCATGCATGGGTATAATATTATGTTAATATTAATGGCAAATAACTTGAGCAATTTCACGTTCAAAAACGACTACTGCGCATGTATTTTTTATAGTTTAATATGTATATATAAAATGTACATATACCAGCAGGGGGGACATGAATAGGCTGATGATAAATATTTTATTTTTAAAATTAAATGTGTGCGATGGTAAATAAAACTAAAATTTTCGTTTGTTGGGCACAGGTGACCCTGGTATCGAACCTGGAAGCGTTCGGTTTCAACCTGCAGCCGTTGAGCCGCGCCTGCCAGCAGGCCGCCGCCGCCGCCTGCACTCTCACTAGGAGCCCTGGGGCTAAACACGACCAGCTATTATTACAAGGAGACCAGGTCTGTCTGATCTCTCAATATAATTATAATAACCACCATAAATAAGCTTAACCTATGCCATATTTTAACTCGATAAACATTTCACGACCTGCCCCCCTACCCCTCTAGCACACAATTTACATTATATCACGTTTTATACCGCGTCTAACTGTCAAATTCCATAGTAATTTGATACTTGAACGCGATAAAAGCGCGTTACATATCATATCGCGGTTCTCATGTTAGGGGGGCCAGCATGAGCACCGCATAATGATATATAGCTCGTTTTTATCGCCCTCAATTGTCAAATTACTATGAGTTTGACAGTTCGAGGCGATAAAAAAAATGTTAGAATGTGAATCGGGGTGCTCATGCTACGGGGACTGGTGATGGTCTAATACCTAGTGGTGGTACAGGTAGAGACCAGGTTGTCTACTCCTCTTCTCCAAAACGTAATTTCGATAACAAAGTTCTAACGAAATTTAATGTCATCAATTTGAGGTTATGCTTAATTTGAACAATAAACTATCAAATTCAATTTTGCTTTTAGTAAGCTAGTTAATGTAACATTTGTCAACGAATATTATTATAATTAGAAACGAATAAGAAATGTGCAAAGTTTCGCTCGAAATAGTTTTTCATTGAATTAGAGGCCTCTAACCAGCCTATTGGGATCTGACATGGAGGCGTGGCCTATTCAATATGGCGCCGACGGGGGTGCATTTGCCTAGTCAAACCGTGATGAAATACCGTAAAATAGTTAAATATCAATATTAGTGGTAGATAATGATAGTCTTAACAATTAATGATATTTGTGAATGGTCCGGTTCAACGCCCAGTAATCGCAATTTTCGAGAGGGTGAACGACTGGTAGCTGCGAAACATTTATTGAATTGTGGTATCGTCAAAGACCAAACTAAACTAATATATAACTAAACCAAGGAAACTCTTTCATTTTAATGTTGTTGCCGTCCCATTCTTTTCTTAGTGGAATAATAATGAGATCTTGTAAAATGCTACTTCACACATGCTTAACCTCAAAAAACGAATTTGACTCACCTGGTAATATATAGTCGTCTTTCAGAAAATGCAATGAACACACTTTCATGTGAGGATTTATTTTACAGTCAATCTTCAAAGCGTTCTTCCATGCTGTGAATTGGTCCACTTTTTCCATTTGACCAAAATAATTTTTGATGTAAACACAACGCGCATTTTTTTTAGGAAACTTATGAAACGTTAATTCACGGTTTTTTTGAAAACTGCTTCCACATCCATACACACAACACTTTATTCTTTTTTTAGAAATCTTGCGAGGGTTAAATATTCCTAATTCTTCCGTCATTTTTTGTTTAATTTCTCAAAAGTACTAATGACACTAATGATAACTTATGTGTTTTGATGAGCGATGCACCCCGGTATTAGTTCCAAAATTGAACACCAGGTGTCTCACGAATTTTGTCAGATCCCAATTCGCAAACTTTTTTGACATTAGCAGTGTGTCACACTAAAGAGTAACCAACCAACAATGCTTTTCAAGACAACTATCTTAGTAGCGTTACAATAAAGCAGTAATGAATCAGTAAATAGCTCAGTGATTATCACTCATGTGTCAAAAACCATTAGGGAAAAGGCCTACAGTATCCTTAGCATGAACCTTTATCGAAATGAAATAGTTATATTCGATCCATTTTCTATGGCAAATAAGTACTGATTGTTATGTTAATTCTCGTTACGTCCATTGTGGCGCTGCTGTTCAAGATTCCACACAAAATTTGACAATGATATCTTGTACTCGCAAACTATTCAAATTTGATATTGGTTCATTCTAAGGGTACAGTACCCCTAGCACGACGAACCAATATCCAATTCGTATCGTTTGCGAGTCCGAAATGTCATTGTCAAATGTATACCGATTTTTAGTTCTCGTTTCGTTTCAAGTTTCCTTACAAAATTTGTTGACATTTCGGTTTGCAAACTATTCGAATTCGATAATGGTTCGTGCTAGGGGTACAGGTCTGTATTAACTCAGAACACTTCTATTAGGGCCAATATTGAGCCCCCTCTTCCTTACCTGAAGCTCTGGATAAGCACAACCAGTTGTTATTACAGGGAGACGAGGCCTGTGCAATACATTTTTTGTTAAAAAATATTTGAACTATTAATCTGCTATACATACTAATCTAACTGCCCCAACAGCAGAAGACACAGGTTCGAGTCCTGCCTGAAACCTTAGAGTTGAATTTTTTCTAAATAAATTTTTCTTTGATTTATAAATCAAGCAGATTAATACCTAAAATAAATAAATATTAAAGAACCCATTTATTTATATTTGAAATAATTGTTGACTGCCAAAAATTTATTTTCCAGACACATTTTATAGCCAAGCTACTCATTGAGAAATATGGCCTGCCCAAGAAATATGTAGATGGAGCAGACAAAGCACTGAAGAAGAAAAAGTGATTTGTAACAATACCAACATTCTGAAACAATACCATCATAATGGAAACAATACATTATAAGTTTATGATTAACAGTAATAATTTTGTAATAAAACAAACTGTTGAAGTAATTTATGTTTATTTGTTTACAACACCTCCTAATGATACTTATTATTCTCGCCTCAACAAAGAGATCTGACAAAATATGTTCATACTCTAATATGGCAACCATTGGACAGTCAATAACACATCAAATTAAATTAACCAAAATTATTATTTTGCAATACTTTTAGATGTTTTAATTGATGTGTTATTCATTGTACCTGCACAAAAATACCTATACTAAATACACAAAAAATTGATCATTAAAATATAAAATCCATTTAAAAAGTACTGGAAGACAGCTTAGACTAAATGAATTGCTTATATGCTATCTATTAGCTTTATAATATTCTCTCATAAATGATAAAATAAAAATTATATATTTTTTGATAAATCCATTTTTACAATGAAAATTTTCTAAAATCTAGGGTTAGGGTGGGTTGATGTCCGTATTTCATTTTATATACAACACAATAAAAATATCAAAACATTGAAATAAAACTCTGGTTCCAATCAGTGGTGATTGTAATATGAGTTCGTCATAAACTCTCCTTATTAAATCATTGGAATGATTAAATTTAGAAGTGTTTAAAGAAACTTTTTAAAATTGATAAATATGTAGGAGGAGTACCTAACTCCTCCTACATAGGATTACATAGTGAAATCATAAAAATACTTCACATAATAAAAAATATCCTAATGTAACTATACCTATTCTAAAAGCTACCACAACCAAATTTAAGTATGCATTAGGAGAATATAGTTGTTTTTTAGATTGACTTTTAGAGATCAATTTTCAAATATCAAATATAGAAGTTGCTCTGCTTTAAAAAAAATTACATTTATCAAGCACATTTTTTATGGATTGCACAAAAACGTTTAACTAAACTTTAGTAGAAGTCTTGTTAAACTTAAAGGGTGTTTTAAACGGTAGTAAAGATTTTCTCTTAGATTTCTTCATGTCAGGAAGAGCTACAGGGGTTTGGATTATGGTTTCTGCTATACTGGAGTACCCTTTGTCTGAGATAACACTCTCACATACCTTACTGGCGCTGGAATCTACACTCCACTGACTTCTCACTGAACTCATTGAAAATCTTGAACTAGAAGAACATTTTGAAGTCAAACTTGTCTTTGAGGGAGTCTTTCTCATGATCCCTTCACCTGTGTTAGTTATATCAGAAAATATGCTTTTACTGAACTTTGCTTGCTTCGATGGCGAGGAATGATTCCAGGTTTTTGCAACTCTCTTCTCAGTTGTCACCTTCTCCACATCTAAATACTTGAACTTAGACAAGTCTTTAATGATTTTCTCCTCCCTGCGAGGCACTTGATAACCCTCTGGGTCAACATTTTCTAATTCATAAAATGTTAATGTGACACTCTCATCACTTTCAGCAAAGGGGTTTGAAGATGTGAAATGTACTTTCTTTGTGGAAACGTCTGGGAAGATAGTGCGGCGTGGCATGTTTTCTTTAGTGAATTTTGTAGATGTAACAATGATACTACCATCCCCAGCATCAGCTGACAGGGAGCTATCAAGGTCTTCATAAGCGTAGCTTTTGCGCCGAGGACGCGCACGCAAGGAGGTCGCACGTCTGTGGTGACGTCGCGATACCCAATCACCCTTCTCACATGCAGCTTGACCTATAACTGCTGGCAAAGTGATACCATTACTCTGACCAGGGCAAAGGTCCTCACAAGAGTCCTTCAATGGTATAATCTTGGCAGCAGGACTGTTTACAATTTCCTTTGCAATGAGATCTCTCTCTCTTTTATTAAGTGATACCTCCCTTTGTCTTAAAGCAATTAAGCGAGTCATCCATTGTTGACTCAGAGTTTCTTCAGATATTTGTTGAGGACAATTAATGTTATCAAGAGCAGCACTGTAGGGTTTTCTGCTTCTTGGCACAAAGCCAGGCAACTCTAAAGCCAGAGCAGCCAAAGTAGGGGAGAGGGAGCCTCGGCCAGCGTGAGAATCTTCAGTATGGTTATTCAACTTTACTTTAGGGCTTAAATTGCAGTATATTGGGCTGTCCACTAGATTATAACACTTTCTGGGAGCTGGCTCAACAGCCCTGCACATCTCTACAGCCTTCTGAGAATCACATTTATTTGCTTCTGAGACTAAGTGTGTATATTCAGCAGAGACTAGGATGTCAGCTAATGTTGTGGGTCTACACTGAGTTTCGATGTTTGCGAGGATAGTAGGATGGTAAAGCACCACGTCGGGGCGCAAGTTGACGTTCTTGTCATCTGTCAGAAATGTAACAACGTCGCTAAGGTCGTCGCTGTAGTGGAAGTCCTTTATCTTGCGATCAAACTCTCCGGTGCGGTAGCAGAGCGTGTGTAGCACATCTCCCACCTGGCGCATCAAGTTGGGCCTGCTCGTCGTCGCCAACTCGAAGCAGTTGAAACGAAGCTCGCCACCTTCGTTCACAAAAATCGACTCCACACTCAAACATTTCTGTAAAACGAGTAAATGCAGATCGTCTACAAGTTTACAGACCCGCGCTAGGTCCAAAAGCAGGTGCCAAATGAAACCTTCCGCGAAGAACTTATCGGTTACCTTGCTCACCTCGACCAGTTCTTGTACACTACGCCACGAGTTGTATTCAAGGACAAAGTACAATGTCTTTGAAGGTGCGTGCAATATGGTATCGTAGTATTTTAATAGATTTTCGGTTGTTATTTTGCTTATTGTTTTCACTTCGTTGACTACGTTTTGAATTTGATTTGCAGAGAACGCGGCACAATTATACGCTTTCCATGCAAAAATATTGTTGGTGACCTTGTGTCTCACTTTATAGAACGTGCCGCCACATAATACATCTATGACTTGATAATCTTTCAATTTTTCCGCCATTGTCGTTATTTTATTAAGATTATTTGAACAATTTTTCACATTTTGCAACCGACCCGAAACAAAGCCGACGTAATTTTGAATTGCGGCGACCGTTACAGAAATAGTGTGAGGCAGCTTTCATTATCGATAAAAAATAACTGCCTTATGTAAAAGTCGACATTCGATATTTTAAATGGCATACTAACACTATCAACCAATGTTAAAAAAAATATGAAGTTAATATATTGCGACCGAATGTGGCGGAAATTGGACTACCTACCTACCACTACCTACCGTCTTTGTTAAGGTCATAGTTTGTATGTCATTTGCGTAGACAGTGGCGCCCTCCATGAACTGTCACTTACGTTCATAAAGATCTTGGTCGTACTATAATAAAATTTGCTTTAAAAGAGACTTGGCCAAACTATTTTTTTCTATGGCAAATTCCTCGTTCTACCTTATAATAAACACTCACACAAAACCCAGAATAATCTAAACTTATTTTTAATAAAATGAAGATGATTAATAACTTTGTTCAACTCTTCATGGTTTTGCTGTGATCAGACAGAATACAACAAACATTACAAGGAATAATAACAATTAATAGAATATGAGAGAGAGAGAAATAGAGAGAACCATTTTAGTGACTAAAAAAACACACAAACATATAATTATAAACAGCTGAAGTAAAAACAAATATAGAAACTAAGCATCACAAACATTAATAAACCAAACAGTTATAATATTGGTCAATGACCCTGCAGCATTCTTAGCATGTAACTACACGTGTCACGACAACGCTGGTAATGGTGTCGATTCTAGCATGATTCTCTAAACCTAAACTTAAATTTGACAACATTGTATCCTTGTCATTCCCTATATAGAATGAAAAGGAGAGACTGATGTTAAAATTAGTTTTAAGTTTAGAGAATCACGCCAGAATCGACACCATTATGACAACATACTTTACCTAAAATCACATTTATGTGTATTTTAATTAAATACCTATATCACTAATCACTATAAAACCATTAACGACAAAAAACAAAAGAAATAAATATTTTTTTAAATATCACCACCGAGGCTAGATCGTAAAGGGAATTGTTTCGGAACTGAACCTGATACTAAAGCTATGCTGTATATTATCACCATCATCCGCCTATTAATCAAAATCAATATCGTTTATTTAGTCTAGGCTGTTACAAGCACTTGTGAATTCATGTTGAAAAGCTACACCATCGGTTCGCAAATCTACGCCGGGAGACCTTGTACTAAGAAGAACCGGCAAGAAACTCAGCAAGGGCTGTTTTTCTCCCTGTATTATATACAGAGTCGTCAAATTGAAAAATGGCTTCAATATGAGGTAACTCATGAAGTCACTTTCCATTACAAATGCAAATAATATAAAAATTATTACTATAAAATAAAAAAATGTATGACTAAAACTGGTTTAACAAAGTTTAGGAATGCCGTGTCCTACAGTTTAGGCATAAAAAAATGAAGATTAAAGTTTAGTACAACGATTAATAGTACCCAATGTAGCAAGAGCAAACAAATACAAAACAAATTTGCAGTTACAGCCATGCAGTTGTGTCATTCAAGTATCTTTAATAGTATAAAAGCCTTTCTTAAGTAAACAACTTTTAATGTGACATTTAAACTCATTTATGGGTAACTTAAGAATAGCAGCAGGAATTTTATTGTAAAAATACCTATACCTTGCATACCTTGACCCATAAACATCGGTAAACCTTCTGTAACCTATAGGGTGGCAATGCAAGCTTGTTTCAATTCCTTGTGTTAAAATTGTGCACGTTACTGTGTTTGGTATACAAATTGATATTATTTTTAACGAGGAGTATGCAATTGTAAATGAATTGACAAAACGCAAATTTCTTTAAAATTTTCTCTAATACCCGCCATACACACTACGAGAAATCGTTACGATCAGACTGTACAGTTCGAACGGTACAGTTTATACGATTTCGTTTAGTATAGGAAATTGTGCAGTTTTATAACATACACGCTACGATTTATCGGTACCGTTCAGACTGTACAGTCTAATCGTAACGATTTATCGTAGTGTGTATGGCGGGTATAAGAGATGTTCTGCTACTCAATTGATAAATAGATCTCACAGATCTTTTTTGTAGAATGAATATACTTATATATAATAATATCAGCTGCTGTTCCCCAGAGTACAATGCCGTATGATAAGATAGTGGTGTCGATTCTGGCAGGATTCTCTAAACTTAAAACTGAATTTATCATCAGTCTGATTGTTTTTATGGTGGTTTTCTAATTACAGAGCATAATGCGACTCTGTGGCGCACAATGCCGAATTATGCTGATACTTAATTGGAACATGAATTAGTTTTCAAATGCATCAGCAGAGTGCGCTAAGTTCAGTGTTGAAAAAAAAGTCAATGTTTGTACCTTCATCCTATTTATTTATTTTTTTAACACAATTTTGAATTAACTTTGATTATTTAAAAAAAAATATAATGAAACGAAAGCTTTAATAATTTTTCAACAATAAATAATATTACTAACGATAACATATAAATCTACATATATAGTGATCTGTGATATAAATTAACATTTCGATCAATGCCAACTTAAAGAAAAAACACTTGTTAATTTTCTGTCACTGAGTTGGTACGATTGCACGCATCACACGAAAGCATTACTTTTAAGAGTGCTCGATTGTGCGAAGCGTTGCTGTAGTTGAAACCTTCAACGTTAAGTATTATGCCGCATAATGCGCTCTAGTGCTGTAATTGGAAAACTACCTCTGTTCCTTTCATTCTGTAAAGAGAATGACAAGGATACACTGTTGTCAAATTTAAGTTTAGCTCATCTCCGCTAGCAGCACCCGTTCACGAACATGACGCATAAACCAGCCATCATTTCGCTCAACCATATTTTAGGGAACGCAACGCCTCACACGACACCGCCGAAGAGATTTTTAAGTGCCTACCCATGACCTCTCAAACCAAACTGCAAAATAGTTACTTAGAATGAAGTTAATTTATCTGTACTACACTGCAAACAAATACAAAACAAATTTGCAGTTACAGCCATGCAGTTGTGTCATTCAAGTATCTTTAATAGTATAAAAGCCTTTCTTAAGTAAACAACTTTTAATGTGACATTTAAACTCATTTATGGGTAACTTAAGAATAGCAGCAGGAATTTTATTGTAAAAATACCTATACCTTGCATACCTTGACCCATAAACATCGGTAAACCTTCTGTAACCTATAGGGTGGCAATGCAAGCTTGTTTCAATTCCTTGTGTTAAAATTGTGCACGTTACTGTGTTTGGTATACAAATTGATATTATTTTTAACGAGGAGTATGCAATTGTAAATGAATTGACAAAACGCAAATTTCTTTAAAATTTTCTCTAATACCCGCCATACACACTACGAGAAATCGTTACGATCAGACTGTACAGTTCGAACGGTACAGTTTATACGATTTCGTTTAGTATAGGAAATTGTGCAGTTTTATAACATACACGCTACGATTTATCGGTACCGTTCAGACTGTACAGTCTAATCGTAACGATTTATCGTAGTGTGTATGGCGGGTATAAGAGATGTTCTGCTACTCAATTGATAAATAGATCTCACAGATCTTTTTTGTAGAATGAATATACTTATATATAATAATATCAGCTGCTGTTCCCCAGAGTACAATGCCGTATGATAAGATAGTGGTGTCGATTCTGGCAGGATTCTCTAAACTTAAAACTGAATTTATCATCAGTCTGATTGTTTTTATGGTGGTTTTCTAATTACAGAGCATAATGCGACTCTGTGGCGCACAATGCCGAATTATGCTGATACTTAATTGGAACATGAATTAGTTTTCAAATGCATCAGCAGAGTGCGCTAAGTTCAGTGTTGAAAAAAAAGTCAATGTTTGTACCTTCATCCTATTTATTTATTTTTTTAACACAATTTTGAATTAACTTTGATTATTTAAAAAAAAATATAATGAAACGAAAGCTTTAATAATTTTTCAACAATAAATAATATTACTAACGATAACATATAAATCTACATATATAGTGATCTGTGATATAAATTAACATTTCGATCAATGCCAACTTAAAGAAAAAACACTTGTTAATTTTCTGTCACTGAGTTGGTACGATTGCACGCATCACACGAAAGCATTACTTTTAAGAGTGCTCGATTGTGCGAAGCGTTGCTGTAGTTGAAACCTTCAACGTTAAGTATTATGCCGCATAATGCGCTCTAGTGCTGTAATTGGAAAACTACCTCTGTTCCTTTCATTCTGTAAAGAGAATGACAAGGATACACTGTTGTCAAATTTAAGTTTAGCTTTAGAGAATCATGCCAGAATCGACACCACTATGAAAGTAACTAAAATATACAGTCCTGGCAGTATCTGTATCAGTAAGTTGTCTTATCTTTCGTATGACATAAGCTGCTGAACTAAGTTTACCAGCCAAAAGCGAAATGTGATGACTCCTTTTGCAGTTTTGAGTCTATCGTTATACCCAAGAATGAAGTCGAGTCTACTAAATCTATTTTTTCATTATTTAATTAAATACCAAAATGTTCAAATTTTACATAAGGTAAAGAAAATTGAATACACTTGGTTTTATTAGCATTTAGCTTTAGATTATTGACATTAAACCATTGCAGAACTTGCGAGAGAGCATTATTAATATCGTCATAGTTGTTCTTGTGCCTGTCAACGTTAAATAATAAAGATGTGTAGTCAGCAAATAATACTATCTCACACAAATTTTCCACAAAAAATGGCAAATCATTTACATATACTAGGAACAGGAAGGGACCCAAAATTTAACCCTGGGGAACGCCCATTTCCACATGAGATCCAGATGATCTTACACCATTTACCTCTACAGTTTGTATTCTGGAACTGAGTTACGACTTGTTGGATATATTGGATGGTCTCTTAGCTTCAACCATGTGTGGAATGAGGTTCAGGTTTTTAGATGAGTTCAGCTGAAATAATATTGTCTTCAACTCGTATTGCACTTGTATTTATTAGACACAATAAATGAGGCAATTACATGTCCAAATGACCTAATATTTAAATGGATGTAAAAACAAAGTAGCGAATACAAAATGGACATTACAGAAAGGCAGAGCAAAAAGGTAACGAGAGATGTGAACACCAGTGTTGCCAGTAGTTTTGTGTTGCTATACATGGAGG